TGAATGAACCCTCCCCCTCCTCCTCCTCCTCCTCCTCCTCCTCCTCCATCGTGTAAGACTGTAAGGTAAATAAATGTCACTCCATCTCCGCTTTAGCCTCGGAATTTGTTAACGCAGCATATTTTTTTATTTATTTTTTATTCAATATAATGTTTACTCTATAGGTTTTAAGTTATTATACTGTATATGGATGTTAATGGATATTCTGAGCTTCTTGAAGTGTGATGTATTGCAAGCATATTGTGACTCCTGAAGCTACAACATTCCCTATTTAATATTTGTATAAGTTTTCACTACTATCCGTGCAGTGTATAATCCACTTATAGGAAAGTTAATATAGAACCCCAGTTTTAAGTGTTTGTCTGAAATAGTACGTCGATAAACTTGATCATGTTTATGTTGTTTTATTATTGTCATTGTTTATCTACCTGACCATCATATGACCTGTTATTTAGACAATTCTCAAACGTATGATTTTTTCCCATGTAATTGAAGATGGTTGTAATTAATTACACAATTCTGAGGAATTGTATTTGTAATTGAACTTTGAGAATAAAAAGTAATTGTATTTATAATTGCAATTTGCTGTTCAAATTTAATCCAATTACAAATATGCCATGAAACTGGGACCTTATGAAAGATGAAGGAGTCTTATATGAAGCAGTGAAACGGAGACTTGGTCCAATTCTGGAAATTCCTGACATTGTAGCAGCATCCTTCTTTGATCCTTGATTTACCATTTCAAGAAGAAAAAAAAAGTCCTTCGACACACCAAAGTTCTTGTGGAATCTGACTCCCAGTCCAAAATACTGGAGGAGACAATGGGGACAAAGGCCCAAGAGGAGCAGCGTCAATCATCTGAACCAACGCAAAGATTACAAAAGAAGCCTCGTCTTTATGCCTCCTGCAACTAAAGGTGAACAGAAGTCACACACATAAGTTTGAACAAGTGTTGGTGGAGTATATAGGGGAGGGCTGTGAACCATTTGATGTGGACCTCTTGTTCTATTGGAGGGATTCTCCTCCAAACATGCTCCCCCTGAAGCACCTGGCCAGACAAATGTTGGGCTGCACAGCCACTTCAGCACCGTCAGAAAGTGTTTAGTGTAGCAGGTAATTTGTTCATCCCAAACGGACAGAGCTCGGCGAGGAGTTGCAACCTTCCGGGAACTTCTGCTGATCAAGTCCAACAAAGATATATATGATCAGCTTCATTAGTTGTGAATTGAATACTAATGAATTATAGTGACAGAAAATGCTAGCAAAATTCTAACCACAATAAAGTGCAGAATCTGATATAAAATGTACTTTGCAGAATCTGATATAAAATGTACTTGCTTGGTACTTCGAAACTTAACTATATACCTGTAGTCCAAACATGGGTAAAAAAACATGTGGTGTAATTGTAATTTTTGTATAATTAATTTTAACATTTTATGTTAATGAAATTATAATTGTATTTGTTATTTAAACTTCAGTTGAGTAATTGTAATTGACCTTAAATAGTGTAATTAATCCAAGCCTGAAATTGAATTGTAAAAAAGCACCTAAAACAAACAGTCATTCAGAAATAAATTATCCAAGTGGGATGAGAGCAGCCACCTGAGACTTTGTGTAGTGAAGATGTGTGTGTGTGTAGCACAAACTGGCCTGGTCATATCATCAGGTATTAAGGAATTTGGTAAGTTTTCTCATAGACTGTGTGGTGCATTGTGCCATGTCCGAGGTTTGGATATGAACACCTGATGATTTTTTTTATTGTATTTGTACTTGTTTAGTTTTAACCCCAAACCAGCTGCTAAGGATTCCCTACTCTGCTTCATATGTGCATAAATTGACTACAAGGAACATGAAACGTCCACTAATGATGACCACCATCCCTACAACTAACTTCACCACCTCCCCTGCATCACCACCATCTCCATCACATCACCACTTCTCCCCCCCACACACACCACCACCTCCCCCACATCACCACTACCTCCCTCACACCATCATTACCACCTCCCCCACACCATCATTACCACCTCCCCCACACCATCATTACCACCTCCCCCACACACTACCACTGCCTCCCCCACACCACCTTCCACACACTACCACCAGTCTACCACCTCCCCCACACCTCACTACCACCACAGAATACAAGAGGAGGTCATCTCTAGGGTGTTGCATCACTCTCACAAGGCCGTGATTGACATGTAAGTTCAACTAACAGATGAAGAACACGTGGGAGTATTGTGTAACTTCCATTTAATAAACCTTGATCGAATATTGCTTTAGTACAACACAGTGATGCAAGACCTACACCTCCCTCCTGTGTGGTCTTGTTCTTCCTGATGCAAGACCTACACCCTCCCTCCTGTGTGGTCTTGTTCTCCTGGATGCAAGACCTACACCCTCCCTCCTGTGTGGTCTTGTTCTTCTGATGCAAGACCCACACCTCCCTCCTGTGTGGTCCTCCTGATGACCTGCAAGACCTACCTCCTCCCTCCTGTGTGGTCTTGTTCTTCCTGATACAAGACCTACACCCTCCCTCCTGTGTGGTCTTGTTCTTCCTGATGCAAGACCCAAGTGTGGCTGTGTGTGATGCAAGACCTACACCCTCCCTCCTGTGTGTGTTCTCCTGATGCAAGACCTACACCCTCCCCTGTGTGGTCTTGTTCTCCCTGATGCAAGACCTACACCCTCCCTCCTGTGTGGTCTTGTTCTCTGATGGACCCACCCCTCCCCTGTGTGGTCTTGTTCCTGATACAAGACCACACCCTCCCTCTGTGTGGTCTTGTTCCTGGATAAGACCACACCCTCCCTCCTGTGTGGTCTTGTTCTCCTGATAAGACCTACCCTCCCTCTCCTGTGTGGTCTTGTTCTCCTGATGCAAGACCTTGATACAAGACCTACACCTCCCTCCTGGATACAAGTGTGGTCTTGTTCTCCTGATAAGACCCACACCCTCCCTCCTGTGTGGTCTTGTTCTTCCTGATACAAGACCTACACCCTCCCTCCTGTGGTCTTGTTCTCCTGATACAAGACCTACACCCTCCCTCTGTGTGGTCTTGTTCTCCCTGATGCAAGACCTACACCTCCCTCCTGTGTGGTCTTTGTTCTCCTGATACAAGACCTACCACCCTCCCTCCTGTGTGGTCTTGTTCTCCTGACACAAGACCTCACCCTCCTCCTGTGTGTTTGTTCCTGATGCAAGACCTACACCTCCCTCCTGTGTGGTCTTGTTCTCCCTGATGCAAGACCCACACCTCCCTCCTGTGTGTGGTCTTGTTCTCCTGATGCAAGACCTACACCCTCCCTCCTGTGTGGTCTTGTTCTCCCTGATGCAAGACCTACACCCTCCCTCCTGTGTGGTCTTGTTCTCCCTGATGCAAGACCTACACCCTCCCTTCTGTGTGGTCTTGTTCTCCCTGATACAAGACCTACACCCTTCCTCCTGTGTGGTCTTGTTCTCCCTGATAAGACCTACATCCTCCCTCTTGTGTGGTCTTGTGTGGTCTTATAATACTCAGATCAAGTTACTGCCTTATAAATATCATTACAAACACTCACTCAAGGACTCATCTAAAACTAACCATTTCTAATGTGTAAAGGGAATCTATGTGAGGTCATACAAGTAATAATAATGTTATAATACAAACATATGATCTGTAAGGCAGTGTGTATAAAATTTTCTATTGATACACTCTATATAAAGTATTCCTTTCCTCTTAGACTCTATTTACATAAGAAATTGAATATTTATTAATAAATCTTTAAATACCCATCTACTGTTGTCACGGCGAAGGGGTTTGAAAGCCTGCGTGTAATTGGTCAGTTTCCAGTAGAAAATGTCAGGTAAGTCACTGATTGGTCCTTGGCGGTATTAATCCATGTAAGCTGATATGTGGTTGGTCAGTTTTCAGCTGGTGGTACAAGACGGTCTGTGATTGGCCGACGAGACCCTCCTTCCTCAAATGTGGAGAGGCGTCATGGAGGAGGTGGAGACCCTGGTGTGTCTGCTGTATAATGGACGGTTTTGGGTGTTTAAATGACAGCTAAGTTAAATTATATGATAGTTTTTAGAAGTTTATAGTTTTATGTACAGTTTATAATATAATATATGACAAGACACTATCTGAGTGGAGGTATACAAGTAAGTATTGCTGGAGCTGCTGGTGTGTTGTGATGAATAAGTCATATTTATTTATTTTCTTACAGACTATTACTGCCACTTGTAAAGGTCTGTGGGTTAGATAACTTTGATTAAATCCCAGAGGAGATCCATCACCTTCTTTTAGTAGGTTTGTAGGGATTTTCCAATACCCCAAAAATCCTATGGACTTTACATGGGATGGAAGTACAGTACGGTATACAGTACTTAGTTATATGGTATAATTAAAATACAAACACAGATAAATGATTTAGGTGTGATAAAAAGTATTCCATGATAAACACAGCCGTGGAAATAAATGTTTTGGGGAAATTTGTTCAGTAATGATTGACTTTATGACTTATGATCCTTCCTGTCTTGTCAATGTTAACCCCACCAGTAATACTTGATGAGAGTGGTCAGGTCTGGATTAACTTCTCTTTTATGATAAGTCAAGAGCAGCTGCCTGAGGTCGAGGGTTGGCTGCATTTATAGATTGTTTTAGATGTTGTTACAGTCTATAATTTATTGGGTAATGGTGGAGCAGACACCTAACACCAAAAGGAGTTGTTCAATATCATTCTTTTTTCACAGATGTTCTTTGCATGATAATAATTAATAATAATGAAGTGATGCACAGAACCTGATAGGACCTGACCTAACCAAACCTAACCTGACCTGACCTGACCTGACCTGACCTAACCTAACCTAACCAAAGAAACCTACCTAATCTTACCTATAGTATTTCCACGCTAAACTGGCCTATAAGCCATGCTACTTGTCTATAGCTGATTGGTTCCCCTGAGCGTTTTTCGTTTTTACCCCCCCCCCCCCGACCGTGCATGTATAAGTGCGTATGTATATCGACCTTTTATAATAAATATTAAAAATTTTCTGACATCTTCTCTGAGGTGATAATGCCTTGAAATCATTTGGATTTTGATATTCCTTATATTTAACATTATTTTAGATAATAACGGGTCTCTACTTATTGTGAACCCATTTAGTTTTAGTTTTTTATTAACCACCCAGCTATTAGTATAGAAGAGGGGCGTGGCCTACGGGCCAGGTTAGCGTGGAAAGACTATAACGTCCTAGTTGGGGACTAACCCCCCCACCTCTCGGACCCCTCCGCATATTAGGCAGAAAGAACTTAATTTGATATCTGGTATCAATAAAAGCATCTATCTTGAAGCAGCATGGTGTAATTTAAATTTTTTTGTGAACATGATAAGGACGCCATTGAAAAACAATCTGGCTTCTCTCTCACTCCTCTTCCTCGAGGAAGAACATATTTATACAAGCATATAGCTCACTTGTTAACCAATGCTTTTCATAAGATATTGTAAATGAAACAAAACTCCGTAATATGGGTCCACAAAGGGCACCTGGTGTGGGTAGTACCACTGGGTACTCGCCTAACCTTGGAGGCAGTCAACATAGGTGCCACATCACACCAACATTGCCAAATGTGCTTCTTGCATATCTAGCATTCATATGTAAAGATAAAATTATTATATTGTAATTTTTCAGTTCATATGCAAATTTGCCATGAACAGTATACATTAATTGTTTTTTTAATGGGTATTATGTTGACTTAAGTGTAAGACCCAGATGCATTACATTTTCCCAGGTATTGCTGTGATGTGTACAGTAATGATCACCTGAAATCATTTACTTTGCAGGTGTGGTTCAGTGCTCTGGCTGTCAACTTCTTTGCCATTGAAGATTGCCGGAGTAGGATGTTGTTAACCCAGGTGTGTTGACAGTTGCTGACGTTGACCTAAGATGGAAGAAGATGGCTGTTATAACTTTCTCTAACTGGACACAAATCACATAGGTGGTGAGTTGAAGTTCATTATACTAACTATAAAACCTTTGATGTGGTCGTGTAACATTACCAGGAAACAGTTCTCATTGTTCACTGAGACACTTGTCATCATAACCATAACATGAGATTAGTTCATTAAATATTTTTACACTACAAAAACAGGGCTGTCATGGACAGCATTTATGGTTGTGGGGAAGGTCTGTGATAGGGTGAATCAAGAGGCACTGAAACAGTGAAGATGTATGGAGTAGGAGGAAAGCCTGACCTAATACCTTGTGTATCGGCACTTGGGGCCATACTATGAATTTTGTTTAAATTTCATACAAGGGTAAAACTTACCTGGGTTCACAATTTAAAAATTAGTGTTAACTAGTGACCTTTGAGTTAATTAAAGATATTTGACTACAGTATGTCCTTCAAGTTTGTTTTTTGTTTTTTTTATTTGCGGATGACACCCTGGATGTATCCAAGAAAGTCTGTGTGTAGTTTTAAAGTTGCCGTCATTTTTGCGGCTGGGACAGGGAGCCATTCGTTCTAGAGACAGTAATTTCCTTTACCTGTATTGTAAACGTGTGTGTAGACTGTAGACACACACTATAAGGGCACGAGTTTTCCTTAATTTTTCTTTTTTAATTTATACCATGGTAGTTAACCTTTAAACTTTTCAACCTGGTTTTATCTTAACTTCTTACTTCATTTCTTTTCTCCAGTAGTTTTTTTTTATAGTTATTTCATAGTTACTCCATAACCTCTGACCTGTGGTAGCGTGGCTCGAGGGTTATGACACATGGGTACATTTTAATTCTGGTATCAAGCAATAGGAAGGAATGACGGTAAAATACTGCAGGTAAATGATGCTCCTAACATACAAATAAAATAGTTTATTAAAATTATAAAATGGTTTATTAAAATGAAGTTATATTTTAAGAATAATTCCAGTAATACTCAACTACAGGGATCAACTCCCTGGCTTTACTTATTTTGTACTATTAAACTTAGGTTCATTTTCCACTTACACCATGACTGGGTGTACAGTACATGTACAAGAACACACATAATACATAGCACCTTTGAGCACCATTATTACAAGTGGCAATGATGCCAGTTACAGCACCAACATTAATACTTAAACATCACCAGAATTAGTAGCTTCTCTTCACCACTGTGGTACATTTGCCCACAAGCAAAGTGATGGTCAACCTACTCTTGCTGGCTCCACACTCAGACAATTCAGGTGGACACCTACATGTGTACTCGGAGGAATAACACAGCCACCAAATAGCCCTATTGAGGAGTGGACTCATCCATAACAATAAAGGGGGCTGGCAGTGTTTGCTCGGCCTGTGATATCAACAAGCTGGGCAGTGAACGCGTCAGGTAAATGGCTGGCCAGTTGACTGGACCCCAGGGGTGGTGGCGAGTTCCTGATGCTCGTGTTCACGAATTTACCCGAGTTTACTGGCCTTCATCCATCTCCCAAACTAGTGTGGAGGTCGTCCCAATCTACAAGGCTCTTGGCCAAGAGGAACCTGTGGGGGTAGAGGAGTTTCAGACGTTGTTGACATGAACATCATTACTGTGTCACTTGCATATTCAAACTATTAACTAAGTCATAATAACTTAAATGTGGCGAGGTATAATACAGAGGAGCGGACATTACCTGTGGGTGGAGGAGTTTCAGATGTTGTACTGACGCCCGGGAGCGTCCTTGGTCCTCACTCCTCCACTCTGTTTGGAATTCCACTCACCCCAGTTATTTCAATGTACTACGTTACTGTATACTTTGACGTTTGAAACTGAGACCACGAACTCATTTCCATTTCCTAAGATTCCCTTGTCAATCTATGCTCTGACTGAGCTGCCGAAGACGAGAATTAAATTGATTTCGAGGTTTGGGATGGCATTCCCTGGTGGGGGGAGCCTAAGACAAGTAGTATCCGATTACATCCATTAAATTCTCAAAGATAGCTGGACTGACAGTTCCCTTCAGGTTGATTAATTACTTTCATAATTAACATCCTTACAACAATTTCACCATGAACATCAGATTCTCTGATGTTCTTAGGTGAAAAAGAGGTGACTTCAGCCTCGGTCAACTACCACTGGCATCTCCAGGGCCGACGCCAATGATACCTCCCTCTCACTGCCGACTCTACCCTGACTTATATTAACAATTACGCTAACAGTAAATACAATTAAGTTTTCAATATCAGTCACAACTGATCTTGAATGCTTCATCTGCAATCAGACGTCTCTAAGTTGACGCAAAGCAAGGGTGTTCTCTTACCAATTCAAATGCATGAACACCCTGTGTGGAATTTAGGTATATGGTAGTTGAGTTTCTCTAGTAATGTGACATGGAAAACGGAGGATTCAGATCTCCTGAAGTGGTTAGAGAACGTATGTTTCAACTGGAAGACTCGGAAGGTTTACAGGTTTTGTGGGCGTGGAGCGTAATATGAATTATTAGGTTTTAACAGACTAGCCATGCTATTATGACCATGACAACACAAATACAATACTACAGGTAAAAGAAATAATTGTCCTAAGGGTAAACACATGAAGGTAATATACATTTATTTGTACACAAGAAAAAAAAGGACCCACCACTGTCCACAAATGTCATTGGAGGCCATTTTGAGAACTTAACCCCGGCAAATTGGGGGGGGGGGGTGTGCTTACAAACAAAATTATGCTGTGCCTGTAAGTTCTAAATCATCTTTATATACATTTTCCTACAAATATAAACTGTCTTTACTATATAATCACATTAGTTTTCACTTTACAAAACAATTTTGTTTGGTGGCAAAAATATGCCTGACCATAACCTTGTATTTTGGCACTTGGAGTCATACCATGGATTTTGTTCTTATTTCATACCAAAATATAACAGTATATGCTGAATAAGGATCGCCCTTGAATATAGGATTCAGATAAGCCATCTTCCAGTCGTCGGGGACCTTTTGCTCCTCCAGGCATTTACAGAACAGGATCTTAATAAGGGGCTCCACAAGCTTGTTATACAGTTTTCTTAACACTGGGGTGTACCATATCTGGGCCGTGACTCTTATGAATCTTTACCTTTGACGGTTTATTTCTTACAACCTCGTCCGAGAACACAACGTGGGTCAGCTCTGTGTCAATCCGTCTTTCCTGAAACGCAGGAAGATCGTTTGCACCCTCTCTTGTGAATACCTATGATTTTTTCTTTTTTTTCAATGCCTCCGCCTTATCCTGATCAGAATCTGCATAACTGCCATCTTCGAGCCTCGGGTCCGATATGCCTACTTGTGTTTTTAATTTCTACTCTGCGTAGCAGTAAGAAGCCTTAGGGTTTGACATGACCTCCCTAGCAATCTGCCAAAGGAACTTTTTAAGCCCTTCTACACTTTGAATTTGCTTGGTTCCTGGATCTGGCATACTTACATTCTCCTGTCCTGCTCATTATTTGTCCTAACCTATGTCTCAAAATCCTGAGTTTTCTTCTTAACTTTGCCGACCGTCTCATGGTTCATGTGTAGCGGTCTCCTTGTATTCCTAGAGGCGCTGGGTTTGGTCTTTGGTGTATATTTAACTTTACTGGCTATGATATTTAGTGTAGCATCTGCATTCTTATTCCTTAGTGAGTCAGGCCTGTGTATACTCATCTCATTGTAATATATGAACCTGGACCTGGTTTTGTCATGAACTAAGTAACGGTTAAATCTGAAGGGCAACGTTCCGTGGTGACTAGTGCCAACTGGGGCAGTGGTTTGGGTGTTTGCTTCCCTCTGTAGTGAGTCTGATTAATAACATGTTGAAATAGAAAATTGTCTCGGTTTTTACGAAAAGAGTGGTTGGATTATTTAGGTCGTTTGGAATGGATTCATTTCTCCAGTCGATGTCGCCATAATTGAAGTCCTCCATGACAAGGAGGTGGCTAGGGTTCTGCACCGTTACATTGTCAATTAAGGCTCTTTAGTTCCTCTAGTTTAATATGCTACAGTTTGGGGATCTGTAGATACATCCAACAATGAGTAAGTCTCCCATTCAGTTTAATTTTACACCACTTTGATCATTTGAAAACATCCTCTCCCTGCACCCTCACCTGACTGACTCTTAAGGTCTTGCCTAGCATAGATAACCACACCCTTCTTACAAGTTTCTTGGGAAAGATTCGTGAGTGAGTCAGATTCATATCCATCTATATTGAACTCACATTCCTCCAGCTTGATTCTCCTGTTTTTGTACAACAGTTCTACAACACCTACTATATCGGGTTACTGTAGTGTTACAGGAACGCGTCAGAATTAGTGTGGTACATGACTTTCAAGCCGGAAATTGTCCTCTGTACTGTTCCTGGTCTTGACTCCGGCCCTCCTCCATTCTCTGCACCTGCCTCATTTACTGTATCCCTTGTGGTTTGTGTGATGTGGTCAGAGATGACATTGTTTACATGGCGCCCACCGCCTCCTGGGTGGGAGGTAGAGCGGATGGCGGGTGTCCCGCTGTCCCCTGATTTTGTGCTGGCACTCTTACTCCCACTACCGTCCCCTTGTATATAACCCAAGTACGCCTGTCCCGGCTTCTCATCGACTCTATCCTCCAGGAGTTTTTTGTGCTGTTCCTTCTGCATTACCGTGCGATCTTGTTTTATGAATATACCCCAAAATGCGTATCTCCTAAGTTTTTTGCCTGCTGATTAACTTCCCATTTCATATCCTCACTTATAAGTGTGATCCTGAGGGTGTGGGACGTGTCCTCCTGCCTTTGTCCTAACCTCACTTCCTGATTGGGAGCTGATAATTTCAGAGCCTCATAAATATTTTGAAATTGCAACTTGTCGTGTTTTTTTTTTGACTAGTTTCAGCTC